GCGGACGATTGTGGATAGGAAATAAGAAATTTGATTTTTATATTTTAAATGAATTAAAATTTAAAAAAAAATTGATATTCATTTAAAATATAAAAAATTATATTTAAAAATATCATAAAATATTAAGACACGTGTCCAATCTGCAATTAATATTTTTTAATCGAATACATTTTCAACATGTCCAATGCGTGTTGGAGGCATGTCAGATGAGTGTCGCGTCGGATGTGTGTCAGACACTGCATGCCTCATTGAGAAGTGTCGGTGAGAAAAAGAAAGAAGAGGAAAAATATTAGTAAGATAAAAGTGAGAATAATTTCGATGAGCAAATACTTATATCACAAGACTAGTGGATCATATATCTCTTGATATATGCATGGACTAAACTCTCTTACGTGCACTTTATGGTGTTCTTCTTGCAAATGTTTTCTTGTTCTCAGGATAATCATTGCTCATGAGATGTGTTTTTCTCCCAACAAATGGTATCAAAGCTGGGCTACCTTTGGAGCCTATGGAAAAAATGAAGAAATGGTATCCAAAAAAAGGGAAAGTGCTGATTGAGTAGTTTGATGATGAAGACTTTGGGTAGTAAAAATGCAAATTAAGGAGTATATGCATCATAAAGAGTTACATCTACTGCTCTTTGAGTCAAATCCAACAATTATAAGTAAGAAAAATCGGAATCTTCGTGACACACTAATCTTGGGAGTTGGATGCTTGCCCCTGACAAAGAATGTTATTTTCAGCGTACTACATTTTTTTTTACCAAAATTCAGCGTACTACATGAGAGGACCATAATTGGCATGATCAAAGCTCCATCAGGCATTTATGATAAGCCTTTTGAATTGAACATAGTATACTTAGTGAGAAATTTTTTTTAATTTAAAAATGGTTGAAAGTGCTTCTATAGTGGTGCATATCAATATGTTCAATTTGATTGTAAGTCAATTGAGCTTGATTGATATCAAATTCAATGACAAAGTTCATACATAGAGCTTGTTATCATCACTAGCAAAAAGATGGGTAACAAATATGACAGTTGTTAGCAGTTCATACAACAACAACAACAACAACATCAAGCCTTTGTCCCACTACGTGAGGTCGGCTACATTAATCTTTTTTCTCCATTGTGTCATGTTTAAAGTCAAATTCTCGTTTAAATCTAACAAAGAAATATCATTTTTAATATTTTCTAACCAAGTTTTTTTCGGTCTACCTCTACTTTTCTTAACATAGGTCAAATCTAATATCTCTATTTTTCTAACCGGGTCATCGGAAGGCCGTCGTTTTATGTGATAGCAGTTCATACGAGTTTATGAAATTTAAGCTCAATGATATATGTTACTTGATTTTAAAAACAAAAAAATGAGAATTAGGTTAAGATCCTTATGTTGCTCTAAATCTTGAAAGGAAAGGAATAAATGCAACAACTAAAGGAGGTTAATTTGAATCCCAGGATAGGAGAGCTAGTGAGGTGCGAGTTAGAATTAGGTTAAGGTCCTTATGTTCTGTATGTTGATAATGTGGCAAGTCTGATCACATGAAAAGACTATAGAGAGATGGTGGATATAAGTTGATAGGAAATACTTGAGTTCGCAAGTAACCCTAAGGTAATACTTGAGTTCGCAAGCAATCCTAACCCAAATCGATAAGAACACAACAACAAAACTGCTGTCCACAGCAGTAAAACAGCAGAAATTAAGGAAAACTGAGAGAAAATCACAAGTAGAGACTTGTATTCCACTAGAAGCAAAAGCAAAATAGAAAAGATACAATTGTTCTTCGATCTGAGAGGAAGAACGACTCTCCAAATCTCCGGCAACGCCAAGAGCCCAAAGCAAGAAACCCTAGATCTCAAATTATCATTCAAATTCAAGATGAGAAACAATTTCCCCCCAATCTCCTAATTAAACACAAAGGACAATTAATAACTTCCTAAAACAGTCCCCCACATTCAAATTTTCCCTCCTAAGATGAATTAAGCCAAGCAAGGCCCACCTAGAGATCCCCCCCCCCCTCCTCCTTCTCTCTCTGTTTTTCGCCGCCTGCAGGGGCCCGCCTCGAATAAACTTGGACCGGTCCAGCCAGCCTCCTGGGCCGGCGGCATATCATAATTCAAACCAGATAGAGGAATCTATGAATATTGTAAGTGAAGAGATATATGATGCATTGATCCTTAATGCAAATAGCATATGGAGTCCTAGATCTTGGATTAATGCGTATTTTTATTCACCTCAACATAAAAAAGCTTATATCTGATTATTCTATGCAAGATCACGGGAAGGTTCATTTTATTGATGGTCAACTCTTGAACATTGTGGGAGTTATGATGTGCAAATCAAGATTGATAATAGGAGTATAAGGAAGCTTCGCAATTTGAGACACATTCTTGGCTTAAAGAAAAATAAGATCTTAATTGGGAAAATTGGTGAAGAAGGTTATTTCTTAACCTTGTGAATAAAGGTTACTTTAAAATAAATTTTGATGCAGCTCTTAAAATTAATCACTTGGCGGGGATAGGTGGAGTTATCCGAGATGATAAAGGAAGATTCTTAATGGCTTTTGGAAACAATTATATGCATTGGGATATCTCTTATTTGGAGTTAATGGCTATTCTGGATCTGAAAAAGCTGCTCAAAGAATGGATGATGGAAGCTCAAGGTGTGATAATAGAAGGAGATAACTTAAATATTATCAATCTGCTCAACAAAGCAATCAAAGAATGGAAGGTTAGTAAGAAGATTGATAAGAATTTGGCTTTTTTACTTGAATTTAAACAAGTTGTCTTCTCTCATTCTTCTAGGAATGGGAACAAACTAGCAGATAAATGTGCTAATTTGGGTCTTATAAGATCGTTTGTATGGGAAGATCTAGATGATGTTATGATTCCTCCTTCTTTCTTGTATTGCTTGAAGGAGGAATGTGATGCTTTAGGATTACTTTGACTTGTGGTTCTCTACTTATCTTTAATGCAAAAAAAAAAAAGAATAAAGGTTACTATGGTTATAGCATGTGGAAGAAATGATGGAATAGTGTGCATAGCGTCAAACATAAAAATAATAGGAGTAATTATTCAATATATTGATGGTGATCTGGGGGTGTAATGTGTGATAAAGTTTGTCAAATGGAAGCTTCTAAAAAGCAAATGAACATTACAGGTAATATGGCATTTTAGAATCAAAGAGCAGCAAACAAGGCAAGGATGGTGGTAAAAGATGAAAAATTTAGCAATGATGGATTAAAATACTACAAAACATTAAAGTCTATGGATGATTGAGCGGTAGGTGCCACGCGAATGGGACAATCTCAAGATAAAAAACTAAAATTTAATCACTAAGTGGGAGACTATTGAGACGTGAAAATATTTTTTCTCACTAACCCACATTGCAAAATAAAAACCTGCTAAGATATTTTATTTCATTTGTATTTCATTCCATCCTAAAATTTCTACCAAAACCCTATAAGATGCTTACCACCTAATGATATTTACCTAATCTCCACAACTTTGTTGCCTACAATTCTATGTATTATATACGGATATGGTTGAGTGATGTGAAAAGGTATCACTCATTCTTCTCATATATTCAATCAAGTGTAGATAGAAACCATTGAGTCGTTGGTGGAGCAAATGGGGGCTCATCATGAATAAAGAAAATCCTCATCCATGAATCCAAACAATCGGGATAATACGGATCATTCTTATAATCAGTCTCCCTACAAATTTCCCAATCTTGTTCCTTCTACATCAGATTTAGAATGCACTCAAATTTTGGTGCAACTCAAGATCTTGTAATGTAATATGCTTTTCCATGTTGATGCATATGCTCAAACTTCCAAGGCGTGCTAGCAAGTAAAAACGTCCTCTTTAAGAAAGACCATTGACTTTGATTCATTAGTTATGATATCACAGACTCTACATGATATATAGGGTCAAGATGTTGGTGACAGGAAATTTAAGCAATCATATGCTTCTAATGGTAGTCTTTTAAACATTGAAGCATATATGGATAAAATGTTTAAAATCTTATTTTTCGAGCAGGGCAAGTATAGGAAAAAATATATTTCAGTGTTTCACAAGGTTTACCAGACTATAACTCACCTAAAGATTTTGCCATTTTGGTATGCTTGACATGTGAGCAGTTAATGGGCTTCTCAACATCTTCAAATGGAAACTTTCTTTTTTTTAATATCATGTTATCACTTGTTTGTTATTAACTTTATACTTTATTTTTTTTATGGTTAAATATAATTGCTTATGTTGTACACATTTCCTAGACTGGTTATAAAATTGGCTGTTATAATAATAAAAAAAAAATGATAAGTGTTTGAAGGAGCGAAAGAACATCTTATACTCAAGTTATTATTCATTTTATAGTTTTCTTTATACTTTAGTTTTTGATAGTTCAATGTAATTGCTTAAATAGTGCCCAATTGTTTAGACTGGTCATAAAATTGCCTTTTATAATAAAAAAATTAAGGGTTTTAGAAGGAACGAAAAAATATCTCACACTCAAGTTAAAGTATGTAATATGTTCGCTAAGCAGGGTACAAGCAAAAAAAAAAAATCTTCAGTGCCATTGGGCTTAATTTTTTTTTAATGATATCTTCCAGACTGAATATGGAGGCAATGGCACTCCAATACTGTTCTCCATCTCAAAAATGACAAGATTTCAAGAATGCTAACTGATTATTAACTGCAAATTTAATAATAATTCTAATGTCATTTCACACAGAAAAGCAAACCACCTTAATAGGAGTTCCAACACACCAATGAAATAAGCACAAAGAAAACCACTAGCGAGGAAGGAGGGCAAGTTATCTGGTAGCAACAATTTATCAAGAAAAAGTCACCACAATGAATGCTTAGCACTAAAAGGAAATTCAAGCAAGTATGAGTGACAACTATAGACTGCTTCAGTGATAAGAATTAAATTTGGAAGCGATCAGCAAATCACAAACATTAATTACTTTCAGAAGTAAAGAATCATAACAACATAAATACCTTTCACCCTTTTGGGGGAAGACGAGGCAATCAACCAGCCCCATCTCATCCAACTGTGGATCACAAATAGCCTCAAGTACCCTAATGTCACCAGGGTGGAGGCAAGGATTCTTTGTCACAACAACTCTTCCAGTTATGACCACAGTTGCATGATCGGCGTCCTTAAAAAAAGTTTGACTTTTATTCTTTTGCTCTTCTTTTGTCATGGTCACCCTGAGAAAAACTTGGCCATAGTCTAAAGTGCCAGATTCATCTAGACAGCCAATAAGGATCCGACCTTTTGGGACAAAAATCCGGCATCTGCTTCTTATATCAGAGAGCTGGTATGCTCGATACGCTCTAAGCAACATGGAAAGGTAAGGCAGTGAACTTGGTTCATAACCACGCAATAATAAATTTTCAGCCTTTTCTTTTTCAGGTCCAGATATTTTGCTAATAACTTCCAGGGCAGCATCCTTATCCATTAACATATTGTCCAAAAGAGACATTTGATAATGTTGCATCGCTTCAAAAACTCCATCCTCAACTCCCAACGTAGAAAGGAGGGAAATTATTTCACGATTCAGAAAGGATGGCAAGTACTTACTATAACTAGTAATATTAACCATTGTATTTTTTGAGTCAAACTTTAACATGCTAGGCCTCAACGACAGCTTGCGAAAAGAAGTTTGATCAACAGCTATAACACCCTTGTAACCTCCATATCTAATTTGGAATGCTGAAGGAGTTCTGTTCATTCCAAATCTTTGAGCGATTTGTTCAGCAAGGGATAATGATACTTTACCTATGCCATCTGAAAAGCAATATTTAATGCCATCAGCATCACAATAAATATCATCAATAATGTCAACATCTTTAGATTCGATGCACATTGCTGGAAAGGAGGAGCTGAACTGCTGGCCCATTCTAGCCGCACATTTAGACACACTACGAATCTTGTTGAAATCACCCATCCAATTTCTAATGCTCTCTGCAGTAACGTCACAATTTGAAGAGAACATCCAACAAGAGTTTGCCCGAAGCTGACTAGCAGAAAATGCTAAAAATTCAAACTTCTTTGACCCAATAATAATACCATCTTGGAGAATAGATAATATTCGATCATATATACCAGTTTTGTATGCCTTGGAAGTAAATCCCTGTTCAATCCTTGCTGAAAGAGCATCAGAAGAAAGTTTACCCCAGTCTTCATCAACAAATGAAACCCTAAGAAAATCAGAAGAATATGCAGAAAAGTGTTTTATCACATAATTGGAATTTTCCAGTTCAGGGCCTAAGAAGTAAACTTTTGATGGAGTAATGAGAGCTCGGTAGCACCTCATTAAATTTTGTGAAAGACTTTGATTATTAGCTGGTATAGCTTTCTGATTTCTTCGCATGTTCAGCAGTTCACGTTCAAGAAATTCTACTGGATTGGAGCAGGTCGATTTGAACTTGTGCATTTTCATAAAAATTTTTAGAATTGTGTCTGAATCTTCTTTTCTAAGAATATCAATGATGTCAGGGGAATGTAAGAGAGAAATCTTCTGTGTATGGACCAGAGAATTGAGCTGGAAAAGCATATCATATGCCAACACAGCTTTATCAGAACAGCCAATAATCGGAACTAGTTTTGACAGGGAACATAATGCTTCTTTTTTACTGAGGATAACTTCCCCCATTTCAGAATAGTAGGGAAAATTCATGAATATGTCAGAAATATACAGACCATTTTCAAGTTCCAGACAGAAGTACGAAGATGAGCCAAGTGCATTAGTTAATGAGAAATCTGATGTCCTTAGCCAAACAAATGGAAAACTTTCTTCGCAGATATGATAGCGATCACTAGTGAATTTTGGTTTCAACTTTGCGTCAGATACCCTTTGATAGATTCTCGGTGCAAACTTGAGCTGCAAAATAACATATTTAATTCAAATATTAGTAGAAAGAATCCAAGGATCCAGTTCCATATCTAGTAGCAAAAATAATTTTAGGGATCTGAAAGAAAGGAATTATAACACAAATTCATTTATATGTGAGCTTTAGTTCCCGAAAGACATTCTAATTGTCAAAAAGTGCTATAATGAAAGATGTTATCATAGAAAAATGCTACATTGGAAGATTAATTTATTACTACAACATATCCTCATAATTGAAAATATTCTCCTCATTATTATCTTCCTCTTTCTATCACGACCCGCTGAATAATTATTAAATGATTGCTACAAGTTATTCATAATTCCCAAAATCATTGCACAAAAAAATGGCTCGTATGACATTTCAAACATACTTGCTTAAACATTTAATTGCTGCAGCTCATATAATATTCATAATAATGTAAAGTTCAAAGAATGCTTATAACATAAAGACAATATCATAATACATGAACTTCAGATTCTTAATATAAAAAAAAAACATCCTAGGGTTTTATCTATCTTCAGTCAATGTCATTTCTTGCTGATTAATCTGAACATCATATGTAAAAACTTATAATGAGTTAATAAACTCAATAGGACTTACATGTTATCACACTGAAATAAAAATTAAATATAAAGATATATGTTGATCATTATTGTATATATCATATGTGACTGCTTGTTTATTCAAAATGATATCCTATACATATACTTGCATGCATACATACATATTTCTTATTTGTACGTATGTAATCAATCTTCTAAGACAAACTTATCAACTCTCAAGTTTGGAGTGCAAGGCCCAATTTTATAAAAACAAACAGCAGACTATAGGTCGCTAAGAACTCATATCAGACACATATGGAGTCAAAGGATCTCAAACACATACCTTGCACTTGGTGCGAAGACCCTGATTGAAGAGCTGCTCACATTAACAAAATATGCTCATATATATGCATAATCTTACATGTATGAAAATCATTATCATCATTATTATCATCATTATCATCATCATCATTATATAAATGCTACATAAAAATATTCTTTCAAAAGATTATGTGTACTCCCAAAATTTAATTATTTATTTAATTCTTTTTTGCTTTAAATATGATTTATAAATCACAAATAATTTAAAATAAGAACGATAAATAGATATTTTATGGCAAATAATCTATTTAATTTGAATTCAATTTTTATTATTTATATTACTTCTTTTTTAAAGTATGAAATAGATTTATTTTTTATTTTAAAAAATTAGATTTAAGTAATTTCTTATATTATAATGATAATAAAAGAATAGGATATAATAACATATATTTAGCATCATCCTACAAACTACATAATTCTAATAATTGGCAAGAACAAAATATCAACAACAACATCAAGCCTTTATCCCACTACGTGGGGTCGGCTACATGAATCCTTTTTCTCCATTGTGTCCTATTAAAAGTCAAATTCTCGTTTAAATCTAATAAAGAAAGGTCATTCCTAATATTTTCTAACCAAGTCTTTTTAGGTCTACCCCTACCTTTCTTAACATGAGTCAAATCTAATACCTCTACTCTCCTAACCGGGTTATCACAAGGCCGCCGTTTTATGTGACCAAACCATCTAAGGCGACTCTCTCTAATCTTATCTTCTACTGGAGCTACTCCAACCTTTTCACGTATATGCTCATTTCGTATCCTATCTCTAAGGGTAAAGCCACTCATCCACCTGAGCATCCTCATCTCTGTCACACTTAACTTAGTATTATGCTTCTCTTTTAAAGGCCAACATTCGGCACCATAAAGCATTGCAGGCCTCACTACCATCTTATAGAATT